GACCCGCTCTGGTGGGGGTATCGAGGGCAGTGCCCCCCCCGACCCGCTCTGGTGGGGGTATCGAGGGCAGTGCCCGGGGGCTGTAGATGCCTGACATCAGTCGCTGTTTCTTTGCTTTCATTTTTAAAAATCTGAAACTCTCTTCCCCCCACCCCAGCACATCTTACGTCTACATTCTGTCTGGAATCAGGGGTTTGCAGTGGAGTTGGTCCTTGTTCTTTGTAATATTCCCCCATGAAATTCCAGGTTTTTTGTAGAGTTGCAACCTAGTTTGCGGATTTAAAGGCACATAGGGATTCTGCTGGTAGCAATTAACGTTCTAAACCTTTGGACATTTGCCAAGCACTATTAAAATAAAACCAGCACATTAGGGATACAGGATGAATGTTTATAATTAAGTTTTTAATTTATTTTTTTTTAAACCAGGAGAAAATGTCTAACCCCAGGCTAGGGGGCTGAAGTACTGACAACGATACTGAAACCCCAAAATGTCAGCACTTAGTTGTCGTTGGGAATCCACAGGAACTTACCAATCACGTACCAGAGCTCTATGAACAAACGGATTAAGAATGTCTGGTTTTAAGTTTAGTCATAAGCTTAAAGTTCAGACCATATTTGTCGAGATGTTTGCAAGCTTCATAATCTGGAATGATCCTACGTTGGGTTTTGAGCAATCACGGACTGATTTTATGGTGTTACACTCATCGGGTAAAACTGATCTTTCCATACTTGTATTTTTCACTTTTTTTTAAACTTCAAGTGTAGCATTCAGTCCCTTTTTTCTGTCTCTGTGTGTGTCCATCTCCCCTTTTCTGTAGAGTCAGTTTACAGCTCAGAAAAGTTTCCCAGGTGTTAAAAGACAAGGTGATGGTTAGGTAAACCTTCCCACAGAAGGGTTTTGGGAGGAGAAGAAGTGTGAGAATGTGAGTCTATGGAGTCGTGATTTGGTTTCTGTTGCAGTTTGGTGTCATCCTCTCCCCCTGTCTGTGTGTCTATTTAAAAGGCCATTTTAGTTCATAAATTACAGATGCAGGTGGTGGATTTTGCCGTACGTAAGGTTGCTGAGACTTCTCATCATACAACCCTGTTTTTGCTGGTTTAAACTTTGCTGAATTTTTGACTTTTGATTTGAATTTCTCCATCGCGTGTGCCTGCTTAGGGCAGGGAAACGGAGCAGAAGCTTGGTTGAATAATGGCAATATTTGGGAGTTGTCACACACATCCGATTGCAGCAGGACTGGGGGTCACAGAAGGATTTTCTGATGAGCAAACCTATTTGAGGGAGATTTTTTTTTCAAAGCAAACCAAAAGCTAGAAATTTAGTGTCACTTTTTCACGTGTGACGGTCAGCATGCTTTCCCCTGGGCTGCCTCTCTGTAGATTTTTGTCATTCTAATATCAGTAATCTGCTGGGGTGAGGAAACAATTTTACAATGCAAATAAATCAAAGTTTGCAAAGCAATTAAAAAGTTACACAAATATTTATTGTGGAAGTGTTTGCGTCTCTGTATACCACTGTGCTTCCATAGCCACAGTTATTGAGATTTACGCAGGCAGATGCCAAGCCATGCCATGTAAGGAACTAAATGGTTTTGCCATAAATTACAAAAAAAATATCTCCCACGGAGCAACAGATTCCCTTC